TCTTTAAATGTGCTTCAAGCTCTTTAAATGTGCTTGAAGCTCTTTAAATATGCTTGAAGCTCTTTAAATGTGCCTAAAGCACTTTGAATTTGTAATAAAATTCTCAAAGTGGCATAAGCTACCGCGTACAGTCATCACACAGAATTGGTATAGTAGAGACGAACTTTACATTTCACAGAGTAGCAGTAGTATGTTTTTTTTGAGATGTAGTTCTGGGGTACTTGGGGTACTTGGGGTACTACATGGTAATTCAATTTTAAAGTTTTCAAAATGTTCAATGGGGAAAAGTGGAAAAAATCCAGTGATAAAGTTAAATAGGTTATAGTTTTTCCAAAGTCAATTGGAACAAGGTGAACATATATTATAACCGGTGACTGACTAGTGGCAGTGCATTTCTTATGGAAATTTTCAGTGACCAGTCAGCCACCAGTTGGCACCTTGTTCCAATTGAATTTGGAAAAACTATACAAATATAAATTAATTATTTATTTGAATAATAAGTTCATTCACAAAACACGATCGAAAATTTTCAAGTGGGGGATAGGTTGAGTGATGGTCAATTCAAATTCCTTTCAAAGTGCTTCAAGCCCTTTTAAAGTGCTTCAAGCCCTCTCAAAGTGCTTCAAGCTCCCAAAAGTGCTTCAAGCCCTCTTAAAGTGCTTCAAGCCCTTTCAAAGGGCTTCAAGCTCCCAAAAGTGCTTCAAGCCCTCTAAAAGTAATTGAAGCTCATTGAAAGGGCTTGAATTACTTTTTTCAATTACAAATTACCAAGCACTTTTCTAAAGTAATTGACTTTGCAAGCCCTAATTACAAATTTATAAAAGGGCTTGAAGCACAGGGCTTTCAAGCCCTCAAAGGGCTTCAAGCACAAAGCACTCAAGCCCTGCCCAGCTCTGGCACCAATCTTTCTCTGCTTTATTGTATAACCATTCTGAGAGCAAAATATGATTATATTATATTTCTTAGGTGGAAAAGCTATCCTGTTCTCGAGACACCGAGATATTTGGTGAATTATTAGCACGTACCACGTCATAAGGAGGCTACTTATACAGGGGTGGTAAAAAATACCGGAGCTGAGTGAATCTCTTCAAACCCACTTATGCTGCTTCCCCAGATTTCGTTATCTGGAGGTTTCTGGGCAAACGAAATTGGACAATGATGTAGGGTAAAGCTGGTAGATCTGACAGCAGCGCCGATATCATTGAATCATTTAATTTTGTATGTGCGGAATCTTCCAGATAAAGAAATTTGAGCAGTTTTTTTGTAAGCGAGTTTGAAAGAGATTCAACTGTTCTGGTACTTTTTACCACCCCTGTATAAATAGTCCCCCTGCTGATGATATGGTACGTGCTAATAATTCACCAAATATCTCGGCGTCTCGAGAACAGAATAGCTTTTTCACGTAGGAAATATAATATAATCATATTTTGCTCCTAAAATGGTTATACGATAGGCAATTTATCGCGAGGATAATCAAACATAATCTGATTATGCTGAGTTATTTGATACGTCAATTGTGTCATACTTCCCTTACCCCCTCTCCATCCAATTCTGGGCCTGCAAATGATGTTACTATCATCAGCTTATAGTAATGACGTCACCCGCAGACCTCTATGGAATGCTTGCGATTCAGGCTGTGCTAGTGAGTTAATATTTTCGTCGATTTTAAATGTAGAGAAGGTGATTTTCGGTCTGTTCTCACAGAAGAAATTAAGTGTTCTTGATCCCCGAGTATCCCAGAATTTGATGGTGGGGGAGTTAGGGGAGCATGACACAATTGACAAGTCACATAATCCAGCATAGCATAATCGATTATACTTGATTATCCTCGCGAAAAATAGCCCAATAAAGCAGAGAAAGGTTGGTACCATACCAATTGACAAAGGACAAAGAGGATGTGCCCCCTATAAATCGCAGTAGGTACAGCCATGATCACAAAAAGTGGGACACCCGACTGACAGGTCTTGTCATTTTTCGCTATTTTGCGTAAATCAGTCTTTTCTCTACAATCGATTTTTTGTCAAATATGACAATCTCTCTCATTGCCGTAGGTATAGCTGGTGAGCCCGTTTTACAATAGGAAAAAACGGGTGTCCCACTTTTTGTGCTCACGACTGTATATGTTACGTGTTTGGACGCGTACTATCTCTAGTTACTTAGAGGGGCAATTGTCTTCACGGACCATCCAATAATTAGTATTAAAAACTTACTTTTTTTCCACCCTGTATGAAATCTTTTTGAAACAATAAAAGACGAAAACGTTGAACCAACAATAATGAAGAACATTGTTTCCTATAACTGAGACAAAGAATCAGGGTGGTGAAAGTCATTTTTCTGGTAAACTGAAATTTCTGCAAAACTACGAGATTTATTCAAAAACCCTTCAAGTTGTTTTTTACCATTGAACTATTGATTCTTCCTAAACCCAGAAAAAAAGCAGGAGTATGTTTGAAAAGAAATGGCGACGCCCTGAAATTTGACAAACTTTGCACTGTTTTATTGTCCACCCTGTATGTTGACGATAACGGTACTGTTTATCAGCACGATACCATATACCTTGAACACCAAACAATGCGCCCCAATATGCTTCAAACCGCAATCAAATATCTCTTATACTTTCTGAGACATTGGACTTCAAAAATAGGCAAAAAAATTCTTTATGCGTATCGAAGTTCCAGCAGTTTAGTTGGAATATTTTGTCTATTGTACAACTTGCTTAAATAGTGGATAATGCATCAAGCTGCTGTGTTTTTCGTTTTTCTTTCTAGGCCGGTAAATAATATCATATAGCTGTAGCAAGCTAGTTCAAGTTTCCATCTCATGATTTTTAATTTTACTTGAATTTCTTATATCAAATATGAACGAAACCGCTTGCTGATCTGATCTGTTAAGAGTTTGAAATTTTGTCCCATTTTCTTAACGCCTCTATATACATGCACAAGCTTCTCTTCACACAGATAAACGCTTTATATTTTATTCAGACAGGGTACCTACCTACCTTGAAAAAAAAAAGGCTACAGATTTTCTTGACTGGCTCAGAGACGCAGCTATACGGAACTCTGATCCATCAGTTTCCACAACTAAAGTTCATTTTCATTTATTGACCAAAAGAGTGAGTTTGCAATGTCTGTCCTTATTGTTTCAAAATCAAGAAATCTGACGTTCTGATAAAGGAAAATATTTGCAACTGACAACACTTCTGTTTTGTTTAAAAAATTCTGTATTTATTTAGAATGATGGAAGAACATAATTACTAGGTACTCTCTGGAGCTCTTTCATATTTCTGTTTTCTAAAATGTATAGCCTTAAACATTGAATGGTTCTTGAGCATTGGAGAGATTTAGTTAAATTTTTAATGGTTATTCTTGATTTTCGCCACAGACGTCATTTAAATAACCATCTAACCCGTCTATTTTTCTTCCAAAACTATTGAGTCAATTATTCTTTCTGGAAGCAAGTTACTCTATATGTTACTGTAAAAACAGAACTTGTCCAGCAGCTTCGAATGCAATGTATGTGCGTATTTGAACTAGTGTTTCAATATTTGGATAGGCGTCTAGTAGAATGAATTTGTTGATGCTCTGTGAATAATCTATACAGATACGTCGTTTACGATTTTTATTGAGTGATTGAAACTTGAACTCGCCATGGCGAGAAGCTTTCTTGGATAAAATTTAATTTCAAAAGTTTCTTGATGTCCTGCTTCATTAATTATTCATACCCAGTTGAGTGTCTACATGATTTGGTAATGATAGGTCTACATTTTGTAGTGAGATTTGAAAATAAGGATGGCGGTTTGCTTGTGGTTTCATCAAACAGCAAATTGGTAAAGGCATGTTTTTGCCCTTCAAACTGGACTTGATAATATCAAGACCAATTACAAGATTCGAACACAGATTAGAAAGTATAGAAATTTTATAATAATAATAATAATAATAATAATAATAATAATAATGGTAGGTATAGGTATTTACGGATATTTTCTTCAACGATCCATTACAATGATATCCTCTGTAATCTCTCCATCTGTCTATTCTATATATTTGATAATGTGGAGCCGCATATTCGAGAACTGATCAGACAATAAAGCAATATATAGACATCAAAATCAGTCAATGACCTCCCCACAAAGCCAAGAAGCCTCAGACCTCTGTTTGTCATTTCCGCCATTTGAGTACCAAAACGAAGTAAAGTAACGAAGGTTTTTATTTGGTTGACTCTACAGAGTAATTGTAGTTGAGGCTGTCTTTCTTACGGTGGAAAGATATATGGCAAAACATTTTGTAATGTTGAGATGCATAAAGTTTGATTTGCACCACCTGTCAAGATTCTGCAAGTCCTCCTGAATCGCCTAACAGTCACTACAACCCTGTATATTTTCAAGTCATCCGCGTAAAACAACTATTCACTATTAGTGATAACGTCATCTATATCATTGATGTAACAATTGAAAATAATAGGGGCAAGGAGACTCTCAATGTTGCAACAATGTCAGATGACTCAACATTATTTGTATACGGATGGACAAGTAACTGCCAATCCATGTGAGGAAAACATCATGAACTCCCAATGCTAGCAGTTTGTTAAGAAGCAGCATATGATTGACTCTGTCAAAAGCCTTAGAGAAGTCGGTGTAATTTTTATCCACCTGGCATCGCCTCTCCAAGGCTTCCAACAGACGCTGCTTATAAACCAGCAGATTTGTTATGGTTATAATTTCTATAATTTACTCCAAGAAATCAATGTCGACGCAACTGTTACCTTTAATCTGATTCTGATAAAAACTGCGCCTTCATTTTGGCTAGCCCGTTTTATTTTATTTTCAATGATTCCCTTGAGAGGAATCTTGAAGGATAAGTTTTGTTGTCCCCCCAAAATTTGGTAAATTGAAAAACTATCTGCCTATAAGCATAATCAGCACTGTACCCAAAGTCTTCGAAAAGCTGATTATCTTATACCAATATTTAAATCTTTTATTATTGATCATTACTTTGATTTTTTTGCAGGTTGTAATACTGAAATGAACCTCGTTTTGTACATACATGGATACCTTGTACATACAGGAACTTGAGGCTAGATTGCTTCTTTGAAGTGGTGCGAGTCAATAACCTTCCATGTTCTTTCTGTGAGACCAAAAAAAACAATACAAGTGTCTTTGGTAAAAACATTATATTGACATAGCTTTACGAGAATAAAAAGTATAAACAAAAATATACATAAAAATACACAATAATTATAAGTACTAGTACCAAATAAAAACAACAGAAAAATCACGCACTAATTATTTTGTTTAAAACTCTCTTAAGAATATTAATTTTTACCTACAGAATATTATTCCAGTCCAGAAAACAATTAATATACAAAACAAACACTACAGAAATTCAAAATAACTAATATAATCACAACTAAATACATAAATATTACATATTTTGATTTAATTTTGCACAATAAAAATTTTCTGGACAATAATAATATGCAATAAAGTTTTTCAAAGTATACAGATCTGTACAGAAAGCGAAATTTTTACAAAATTATATACCGAGTTGTTCCAACAAGAATGGCCTAATCTCACAAAAATAACAAACAAGTCACAGCAATCATGACTAGTTTGTAAGTTTTATAAGAATCGGCTTAATTAAATAAATAAATTTACAATAAATAAAAAAAGAGGCGATTTATTCTGAGCTTGGGCTGCGGGAAGACTAAAATCTATGATTTTTGTTGAACACTGTAGTTAAGCCTCATTGTAATAATTTTAAAAAAAGTGATGATGTAATACCAAAGAATATTTTTTATTGAATTGACCTGTAAAAACTGCTAATGACGCTATTTTGATTGACAGAGAATTAGAGTAAAATTTTTATCAAAAACAAATTACATTACAGTAATAACACCATCGATTTTCAGACACATGAGATATCGACAAAAGTGTACAAACCAAAATTGCAAAAATAAATAAATAAAAAATAGGTAGTCAGTTAAAAAACTAAATAAAAATAAAATCTTGATCGTCTCCGGAAAGCTTGTTTTGAACAAATAATTAATTTAGGAAACAAAAAAACTATAAAAAGTATTTAGCTCAACACGAACATGATTATTCGTATAGTACATTTCTAGAAAAGTTTTGGAATATATTCTAAGTATTTTAAAAATATTTGCCATTGCGTTCAATAATTAGTCCAACTTACTTGAAACTTTTTGACTCCCGCCTAAATGTCTTAAGATATTAATCTTTTGACATGTTTAAATATTAAAATTGAATTAATTATTCAACATAAGTTCCAATGTCATTCAGAACAGTATTAAAGCTCTTTAGAAAAACACTTTTTAATGAGTATTTGGGTAATCTTAACAACGACAACTATGATGCATTATAATGAAACGAGTCAAAAGAGTATCTAATACAATTTAATTTTACAGTCCATTTTCTCAAGAATGCCATCAGATTTTTGAAAAGTTCTCCACCACGTAGTGAAGAGCTTTTACGCTATTTTCCGGTCACCCTGTATATTAATCAATTTATTTATCAAACAAAAGCGTCACTGGACTCTACTGAAAAGACATGTGAAAAATGATTGCAAAAGTTGACTAGAATAAAATATAAATTTTTTATTGCACAAAACAATAATTTGAACTTGAAAAATCTATGCAAACATTTCAGAGGATTTTCAATTTGCTCTAATTGTCATTACCCACACTCCCACTAAGTAAAAGATCTGATACGAATTGAAGTAAATATAAAATAGAACTGACAGTTGTAATTATTAAGATACCAAAACTCACTTTTATGCACTTAAATAATATTATAAATACTAATAAATTAATTGCCATTAAACCTCTAACAACCACAGCGACGTACACTCTTTCATTTACACTCTCTCTCGCTCTCTTGCTCTCCCATTTCTATAACTATCTATCTTTTTGCAAAATATAGTTTAAAAAATTAAAGTTCTATATCGTATGTATATAATTAATATGTTTTTCTGGAATATACTTTTTTGCATTTTTTTTTTCTGCTAACGATTGCTCTCTACTAGTTTGTCTCGTATAGTTGATATATGTAGATAGTAGGTCCTCAGCGCCCCTTGTTGGGCGCTGAAATATGGTATAGCTTTGGCCCAAATGGTAATAATATCTAAAAAAAAAAAAAATATAATCTCATAACTGCTTTTATTTGCAAGGAGATCAATTCTTCATACAGACGATTAGTAAATAGCTTAGCAGACATCACAAGGTGTAAAAATGCATGATTTTCTTTATTTTTGAGTTAATGTTACTTGAATCTACCACACACAGTCCTAGACCCTAACGTTTGCGTTTAGTGTATCCCTAGTACTTAAAATAGAACATTCTTTTATTCAGAGTGAAAGCTCAGCAGAGGCATTAAAAGTACTTTTACCTCTGTTGCCAATAGTAAACACCTATGTATAGACTAAACTTTGAGCTAAAAAAATTAGTAGAAAAATGCCAGTTTCTCTTAGATTTGAAGAATTCCTTTTTATAACAATATTTAATGGATGCTGATGAAAAAGCTGGACAAACACACTTACCAAAGACGATGCTTAAGATCTAGACCCGCGAGCTGCTTCCTCAAGCGCCCGCACCTTCAGCTCCCTTTCGCGCTGCTGCCTAAAATGCGAAAACTACATCAATAAAGCAACACTGCTCTTTAACAAACACAATTTATGAAAATGTAATGTTTTCTCGTAATAAATTTCAATTTTGAGAATTTCATTCATCTGTTCATTTAACCTTTTGTCAATGAATTTTTTATCATTCATTTCAACCAATCACAAATATTTGTACTGACACAATTATCAAAATTAAGACTAATGCAATTATTATCCACTTTCTCATTTTTGAGAAAAAATGTGGATTTCTATATTTGCCAATTATGAGGGTACAATATCTTTTTAGCACACATCGGGTTATTACATGTACTCAAGGTTGTTTGAAAGATGTAGGTTGCTTGATAATTTTTATGACGTCACCTGGGGTGCCCAAACATAATGCAAATCTCCATTAGGCATCCCAGATCACGTCATCTGTTTCCTCCAAGGGAACCTTAAGATGTACCAAGCATTTTTAATTATGATCTATTGTTGTTTTATTTATTTTGTATCTTTTTTGGGAATCAATCACCTACATGCAAATACGACTGTTTTCATTTTGTTGCAAATACTACTGCCTTAAGAATAGCTTTATTAGCCTTCACCTAGATGTAAGAAAGTTTCATAACCTGTATTGCTTTGCTACTAAAATAAATGATATATAATGCCCAGTTTATTCATCTTCAAATAAATCATACCACAGGATAAATTTACCAATCTACATATAATCCTATAGGCCAGCAGATAACTGGCCAACCAATAAAATTATGAAGGTGTTTTTATTTGGCAAATTGAATCAGCTGTCAGTTTATCAGGAGGTGAATAAACCAAGCCTAAGTGAAATCGAAAGAGAAGACCAGTCAGCAGATATTTATGTGAAAAGTGAAAATGGAACTAATTCTGACAGAAAACCAGTTAATTTGGATTACACATTTTACTTGTTGCCTCAACTATCCTGTAGATTAGTTGTAAAAAAAAAATGATTCATGAAATTCTCTCATAAAATATAATTTATGTAATGAAAATTATCAATAACTTCTAATGCATTTGTCACTACTGATACGATTCAACTACCAGCAAACAAAACTAACCCAAATTAATTCAACATCTAAAGAAAGCTCTGCAGGGTTCAACAATATTTTTTTAAATTTTGTCTATCTTGCTAGAGATATCCAGTAAGTAGTAGGCTCGAAACTGACTTAATATCCAGCAGCGGTTGCTGCTGCTACAAGAGAAAATAAATGATTATTTCCAAGCAGCAATTTTTAATTAAATTTGACACAATTTTGGTGAAAACTAATCTATTTAACCAGGATTTCAGGTAATATTGCTGATTAATTTAGGGCAAGTTTGATTTGAAATTGAATATAAATGAAAATTGGCTTGATTATGTTTCGTTTGAAATCGAATTTCGAAGAAAATTGGCTTGATTTGAAATCAGATTTTGACGAAAATGTGGTAATGTTATGAAAAAATGTTATGCATTTCAATCTAAAGATGTTCTTTTTGTGCCTAGTTTTGGTTCAAAAAAATTGAAGATTTGAACATGAATCTTATTTTGGGAAATCTTTGGAAAAGGAGTTTAGTTACTGGATACCTATTAACTAGCCAATTTAATTTGCATCCTCAAGGTCGATTCACACATAGCAGTGACGTGACAGTACCGTGGCCGGCATATGATTTCACCGGCCGTAAACTCACAGTGATTTCTATTCATATTGGATAGTGTTTCATCAGTGCCGTGTCAGTATAGTTTATAGCCAAATGGAAATATTTTCAGATTAAGAACTTTTGCAGATAGCACTGGTTTTGAATGAAGAAATGGAAGAACAAGTAGAAGAACAGGTAGAAAAACGACACTGGGTCCATCCTGCATGGATAAAGAGAGGTACAGAAGGGGAATTTATAACATTATACAAAGAACCAGACAATGCAGCAAAATTTTCTGAATACTTTAGGATGTCAGAAAATTTGTTCGATCTATTGTTGTGCAAGATAGAAGTTCATTTGAAAAAGCATGACACCCTCCAGATAGCATTCTTGAAATCAGAGTCCATGTATTTTTAGTTGCACAGGGTGATCTATTATAAATGTCACCCCCTTCTAACTTTTTCATTTGACATTTTTGACAAAAGTGTCAAATACAAAAGTTTCAATAAATTTTCGAAAGTTTTTAACTAAGGGCCTTATTCTGTAAGGAACGAACCGTTCGATTCGGTAAAATTTCTTCGATTGTGACGTCATTTTCGGGTTGGTTTTCGCTCTACCAAACCAAAAATGACGTCACAATCGAAAAAAATTCTACCAAATCGAATAGTTCGTTCCTTACAGAATAAGGCCCCAAGTCAGTTTTAGACATACAGGGTTTGTCAAAAAAGTGTAGCAGTGTGAAGTTATATTTTTTTAAATGGAACACCCTGCATATTATGTGCTTATTTGTTAGTCCCTTTCAACCTGATTTCAACGATATACGATTTGATATGTCTATCTTTGATATTTACAGGAGAAAACATGAAAACCTCTTTCACGGTTTCATATTGAAAAAAGAAAAATTATACCATTTAAGCTATAGAGAATTTTTTTATGAACAGTTTATTGTTCAAATTTTATTCCTTAATATACAAGGTGAAATATTATAATAAATCCAGGTGTCTAAGTTATTATTATTATTTTTGAAAAAATAACATTGTGAGACCTAGCAAGGGATTTTTGCGTTTTTCCCTATAACTATTGAAGATAAACCGAGAGATAAACATATCAAACCATATATCGTTGAAATCAGGTTAAATAAGCGCACAATTTACAGGGTGTTCCATTTAAAAAAATATAACTTCACACTGTCACACTGCTGCACTTTTTTGACGCACCCTGTATGCCTAAAACTAACTTATTTAAAGACTTTTGACAATTTCTTAAAACTTTTGTATTTGACACTTCTGTCAAAAACGTCAAATGATAAAGTTAGCAGGGGGTGACATTTATAATAGATCACCCTGTACCATCAAATTCCTACGAGAATAATTTTGACTTCGCCGGTGAAATCACGTGCCGGTCACTGCACTGTCATGTCACTGCTATGTGTGAATCGACCTTTAGTATGCAAAAATATACAAAATTAAAATTAATGTGAAATAGTTTTGAAATAAAGACATATTAGAAGTAGCCCTTTATATCGACTTTTTTTCAGTGTTAACTTTCAAAGAATATGTAAATTTGCATTATTCGTTCTGAAACTACATCTTTTTATAAAATGGCAAAACGCTGTAACTTCAAATACATATACAAGATGTCCTTAGATAAACTCACACATTTTACAGGTAAATATCTCGAAAACGAGAAAAAATAACGAGAAGAATTTTTTAGAGTATTTTTTCACAGTATTGCCACATCCTGAGATTTGCTGAAATTTAGTTTTACAAACATGCGATTTTCTGAAATAAAATCACGGCCTTATTTTTAATGAAACACCCTGTATATTTTGTCATTATCAGAAAGCCCCATTTTTCTACTTTCGGGATTTATTGAAGTCTTTTTATCGAACAAAACAAACCGCGAATAGATCTCAGGCTAAGAAACGAAATAATGAATTTTTTCTCACTTAGATGCAAAAAAATCCTGTAAAATTTCTATCAAATCACCTTTGGTAGCTTCTGAAAAATACTTCAAGAAATCAGAGATACTTCAAACTTTCAGGATTAATTGAATAGGGTCTTTTTATCCAACCAAACAAACCGCGAAAAGATCTCAGGCTCAGAAACGAAATTATGAATTTTTTCTCCCTTAGATGCTAAAACATGGATAAATAATTGGTGTTCTTTTATTTATTATTATTATTATCATTATCCATTGAGCAATAGGAAGCGGTGAGACACCGATGAGTCTATTGCTTGTGGTTGTTCGACAGTCTCTAAAAATTTTGATTTTGTTATCACCTTTTCGTTACAGGTAGTGTACCAGTGTGTTAAGGAGGCTTGTTAAATTTTTATCTATGGTTAAACTCACTGAGTGCGGAAACTATAGGTGCGTCTATGGGTGAATCTACCAAAAACAGTTTCAAAAATAAACTATAATAGTTTGTTTTTGAAACTGTTTTTGGTAGATGCACCTATAGTTTCCGCACTCAGTGAGTTCCACTTGTATACCACTCTATTGCTTAATAGTATATTATTTAACGAGCGTATAATGAAGGCTATATTACACGAGCCGCAGGCGAGTGTAATATAGCCATTATACAGGCGAGTGTAATATAGCCATTATACGCAAGTCAAATACTATGCTTTATCTACGACTATTCATTTTATTAAGAAACTATAGGTAATAATTTGCAGATTTGCAAAAAAATTCGCAGATGTCTTCAGAAAATGAGTTGGAGCCATTCTTCAGTCGCCAGTCTATCAAGATGTTGTATACAATTTTGTAATTTTTCCTTGATTTTTCTGCAAGTAATGCTACTTGTGCGACTTCACAAATTTCTGGAGGGGTGCGTGGAATTTTGTTTTCACTGTCGGAATGCATGAGAAACCCG